ACTGATTTCTTGTTCTTGGATCCTTGCTGCCTGGCTACGCAACGCCACGCAATGCCAAGCAATTCAACGCAATGCCACGCAAGGCGCCCATGCAATAGCAAGCTTTTCCCTAATTGGAATCGCGCCTGGTTAATTTGTTTCAGGGCTTCTGGAACTCTCCGTGTGGGGGCACAGCGCGACGCTGAGGTGAGCTGGACTGCCATGCTTCCCCCATGACTGCTCTTCGAATGGCTATCAAACTGTTGTTGCCTAGCGTCTGGGTTTGGGACTTCCCAGGGTACCGGGTTCCTTTCTCCAACACGAGCCTCCCCATGCTCGGCACTTATGGGCATTGGCGGGAAGACATACAGCCTAAGCTTCCAAATCGGGTGCGAAGCACCGTGTATGTAAGATTGCTGGGGTGGAGTTGCCGCTACTCCTCGACTGTCGCAACTGGTAGCACTCACCATCCCACTTGGGAACGCTTGCGGTCGGAGCTCGTGAAACTCGGAGGGAATAGAAGATTGGTAGGTTGGGAGGGAGGCGATGGATGTGAAAGGGAGGTGCTCTGCAAAATCAATTGTGGCGAGTGTGCGCCAGCTCACGACTCTCTGCGATCTGAACTCTGGCCAGTGCCGAAGAGGCCGACGTTGCCATTGTCGCCATCGGGTTAGTTGCCCCGAGGGTCGCCTCATCTGCACGTGCATGGCCCCCTCGGCCGCATCTGCTGGAACTTCGAGGTCTTGCTGACTCCCGTGCCAGTCTCCTCCGCTGGCGTCAGTCCTGGCCACTCCGCTGGAGCCGCGCGGGTAAAGCCCCGACCTCAGCATGGACTCTCCACTGGTCCACCTGCCGAGCTCTTTTAGCCCTCTTGAGCGCCTCCTGGTGTGCCGCTGGGTCGAAGGTCACGGTCGGCGGGGTCTCCTCGTTGACCTCCGTTTTCGGACCCCGGGGGCCAGGCAGACCGGTGGGCGCCGGGCAATTTTGACGGCTGCGACAGCGCCTACGACGGCGGCGTGGCGCCCGACGAAGCCGCAAGTGTAATGGGCGGATTCGTTGGCGGCGCCTGGGGCGGGAAAGTTGCTGACTGCATAGGCGGGGGAGTTGGCGGCACAGCTGCTGCGGGCACCCTCGCCTCGACCACATCCTTGCACCACGCGACGCCGGAAGTTTGCACCGGGGTCTGAGGAGTAGCTGCCCCGGCCATGGCGCGCTGCAACACGGCTCCCATCTCTTGCCTTGCCTGGCCATCATGGCTTGCTTCGCCACATGCATCTGCATCATCACATCATGGGCCGGTGACGCTGGGTCCGTCCCGACAGGCTCGGGCGGGATTTGAACTTGCGCTGCCCGCACCGACGGTTGCGTCTGCCAAGTCTGTTGCTGCATGTGCGCGTCGCCGTCGTGCCCGCAGTCTTCGTTGATCTCTTCGGGCTGCACCATGGTGTCATTGATGGTGCCAGCCTCGACCATTGTCAAATCTTCCTGCTCGAGAAATTCTTTCTACTCATTCCTGATCGAACGAAGCCTCTTCCCTGCCTTCCGCAAGCGAACTCCGGCATCGTTGATCAGCATGGCCATCGGCCTCATCCTGCTGAGCGAGAAACAAGGCAGCATCGCGCCTGCACTGCCAGCTTTCCTTGTCCACCATCTCGGCCATGATTGCCAAGTTAGCCAAGTCGTACGCGATCACCCTTGTCTTGGACCAGCTTATGTTCAAAGTGCAACGAATAGCGCGCACATGGGGAATCCGATGTGCACGTTAGTAGGCAAGCGTATATATATATATAGAGAGAGAGAGTGCACGTCGTAGGAGGTGCACTCTATACGCGGTTGTCCTGCACTTCCGATGGTTGAGACAAAAACGCTTAGCGTGAACAGCCGATGTCTCAGCAAACACGTTTAGAGTGCACCTGTGTTTTCAGAATGCCGATCTGGCTCGGCAGTCTCTGGAGCCACACTTGGCCTTTCGGCCTCCGCAGGCCCGGGCCACTTCTGCCTCCTCATCCTCCTCCTTCTCCTTTTCCTCCTCCTCCTCCTCCTCTTCCTCCTCCTCCTCCTACTCCTACTCCTCCTCCTCTCCTCCTCCTCCTCCTCCTCCTCCTCCTCCTCCTCCTCCTCTTCTTCCTTCTCCGCCTCCTCCCCTCCCCCCCTCCGGAGCATGTCACTCGGAGGAGGGTGGGGTAGGGGACGGAGTGTAGAGGTGAGCCGAAGACTCGGAATCGTCTAAAGTGCACCCTGGCGAGGACGCTATACACGCATGCCCAGGAAAATGGCAATGCAAAAATATCGCCAACGTAAAAGAAACGTTTTGCGTGCACGTCCGCTTGCAACATAGGAACGTAGAACGTGCACGCACGTTTTTAGGAAGACAGAGTGGCTTCGAAAGGGAGATTTCGTACAGCGTGCATGGACGGTGAGTGACACTTTGTTCCTCGAGGGGAGCCTGCGCGCTGTACGTCGCATTTTGACCGTATGGCATGCTCCTTCTCGTCTTCTGGCGGTTCCGTCCCAGCTGGGT